TAGAACAGGTAATTGTACTGGTGGATTCCGATGTGTGTCAAGCTCTCCCCTTGCAGCAGGAAGGACAGTCTGTGTCCAAGCCAGGACTATCAATCCTGAGAACAGCCTGATGAGGGAAAATACTCCAACTGCTTGATGTTTGTGCTTCACGCTGGCTGCAGGTGGTCAGGTGAAGCCTGTGAAGTGCACAGAGCAGGTCTGAATCAGCTGCTGCTGAAAGGGTGTATTTGCAAGTGTGAACAAACTTTTGGGGTTTCTTTTCCTAAAGGTGATTACCCAAGGCTAATCAGTCCTCCGGAAAACTGATCCAGTGACACTGAGATCTGGTGCCTGACATGAGGGTGCTCAGGAAGGAAAATGTAACTGACTCCTCAGTGGGAGCTGATAAAGCTTCAAAAAAATCTCCTCCGTGCAGGACAGAAACTAAAACCTCTGAAACAGCACGGCTGTCCTGCAGTCGAGAGACACAGCTTGCTCTCGTTCGAGGGGAGAGCAAAAATTTGGTCTTGAAGGATTTTTTATTTTTAAAACTTGTGGGTTAAGTTCTTCCAAAGTGCTTTCCAGATCTGATATCCACCCCAGACTTCACTGGCTCCTTGTCACCTTCACTTGTGATAATGTGCTTAGACAACAAACAGCCTCTTTTAATGGCATTCCCTCCATAACACTCTTGGTTAACGTTCTATCTCCAACAAAACTCACAAATGCATTTTGCTGTTTAAAGACCTTAAACTTCTATATGCTTCTATATATGCTTTTTTTTTGTTTTCATTTTTTGTTGTCAGTAGAAAGAATAAGGGCAGTTAATACAAGACATCCCAGGCTATACTTACGCAACTTCTGAAGTTAAGAAACTAATTTTTGTGTATGCTTACCTGGGTGGCAATTTCTTCTAGAACCTGAACCTATGATTGTAGGACTGTGAAATATTTTTATCTAAATATTGATCTCACTTTAAAATTTTAAGGAATGCTATGTGCATCCATGTGGGAAAGATTTTGCAATTCCTCTTTACCCAGTAACAAGGCAGGCAGCCTGACATTCAGAGGACTTGCTGTATATCAGCATCTTGAAAGATACTCTCATATTTCATGTACTGTCAAGATAAATGCTAGACAACTAATAGTATGATTGGATCAGTATATTTTCATAGACATGTTTCAAAGCTTTGTTGTAAATAAACATCACTGGAAATACACTTTGCTTTTAGTTTGTTTGTACAATGATTATGCTTTGAAACAAGAAATTGTTTCTAACCCCCAGATGTGGGCTGTGAGGGTATTGGAGAGTTAGATGAAATGCAAGTTACACCCAGAGCAAACAGGCCAAATTCCACCCACTGTCCAACAGTGTCTGTACAATGGGTGAATCCCCAGAGAAAATAGTGCAAAGATTCCTTTTATTTCAAATGGATTTTGTCTCTGATTTCAGACTTGTATCTTTACCTCAAAGCTCAGTGAAGGATTTCCTTGTAGCAGCCTCTGCTTTCCTGACTGGAGAGAGGAGCCTGCTGAGCTGGCTTGGGAAAGGGCAGGTACCAAAAATTCCTTTGCCTTCTTCAGCCTAGGCAATTTTTTAAAATTTCTACCACTAAAAATTAATTTCCCAGGAGCTCCATGGCACCTGGGCAGCATCTGAATGATCTATGGTGGGAAGACAGAAAGCAGAGCAGTGGCTTTTGTTACACTGAAACATTTGCATAGCAGAGAAAGTTTGAGCTTTTGTGTTTTCAGAGCCTTTTCTTTGCCCTTGAAAAGACAATTCAGACTCCAAATATACATAATGATTTGACCCACTGCTTCATGGAAAAACACAGGTCTAGCACTGAACTTCCAGAAAATCAAAATAAAAATGCAGGGATGTCTTTTCAGCCCAGCAGCTGAAGATGACAGAGGTGTGAGCACAGAGCACACAGATTCCCTTGCCTGATCCAGTGGTCAGCTGCCACTGCTGCAGAGGACTTACGGATGGATTTGATTGAGATTTATTTGCAAACACACATCCTCCCCTCCTGGCAGCAGTCCTGGGACACTCACAGATCAGCCAAGGAGGAGCTGCCAGCACTGCCAGTCACACGGAGGAGATTAGCTCAAATGGACAATGCAGCCTCTCTGCAACTCCACAGCAGAGTACACGCTGCTGGGAGAAACAAGAGCATCCCTGCAATGCTAACTGGCTCAAATCAAGATAAAGGCAAAATTTCACAGTGTGTGCAACTTGGGGTCCTTGCAATTTCACAAACTGCAGGTTCTCTTCCTGTCTTCCCCCCTCCACTGTACCATTTATCTAAAAATAAAGATTTTTAAGGACCTGACTCTAGAGAGTTATTTGTACAAAACTCCTCCCAGTACCACTGGATATATTTAACATTCATGCATTTTGTTAAAATGAGAAGAGAAAAAATAGATGTTAACATGTAAATACCTCAGCTAAAAAAGAGTTCTGGGAATCAGTAATCTACTATCAACTTTATTTTTAGCTTTGCCTGACTTAGTTTCATGCTGTTTGGGAAAAAAAACCCAGAAGTTCCTTCACCACCCATATACCCAGTGTTACACTGTACAATTTATAGCAACTCCAAATGGAAAAAACTTGCTCTTGTTTGTTTGCTGGAGAGAAGATAAATATAGTCCCCATTTCTGGAGAATTAAAAACAACTATTCCTCTAAATCACTTCAATTTTTCTATTAGAATGTCTTTTCCCTTACTTATCTGAAAGTTGCAGCTTCTTTTTAAAAAGAATGATTAAAATGTTTTGTTTGAACACTCTGAAAATACCACACAGAATAAAATTGAAACATTTTATTCAGAAACACAGGAAAAACACACAAATATATAAGTGTAAAAATGATAAGTTATTATATAAAAATGTATTGGATAAACTCAGTATATTCAGGTGCAATTCTAGACAAAGGATTCACTAAAGTGAGCCCCTATAGTGTTTTCCTTCTATCTAAGGAAGAGAGCTTTGCTAACATTTTTAAAATTGACAGTAAGTATGGCCTTGTCATACTGTCTCATGAGTAGATGTTACAAGCTAAAATGGTCCCACTGGATTTACTGGAGAAATTTATGCAATGAATAATGTCCTAAATTAAATCTGACAGACCTTGAAATGAGAAATTAGAAAATGAAAGATATCATCTCTTTATACTTTGTAAAATAAGAGGCTCTTCGATGCTCATGCCAGCCATCCTTCCTGGTTCTGGAATTCTGTCTAGAAATGAAACACAGACAAAAATATTCTCATGCATCTGGAGGACCAAGGTTTGTTATCTTCTACTGTTACCAACTTTGATGCACAGTATCATCATAAGGAATTTAGGAAATTTTACAAATAAATGTTTCCATGCAGCTGTAGGAGATAAAAGCTTTATATTACTGAGATTAAATTTCAGACATCTTCCAACTCAGCTGTAGCAAATGAGGTAAAGAAACACCGTATTTGACACCTTTTATCAGATCCCCAGTCTGCTGGGATATTCATACATCTAAATAAACAAGATAATTTCTAAAGTGAAAAGCAAGCTAGATGTTAAATAAGAGATTTGGCAGGCTGAGTTTATGAATGGACTTGATTACCTGAATATGCAGCCTAATGAAAAGAGCTGAATAATTAGTATTTTAAACCCACTGTCTTCAGGTCTCAACTAACATACTACACAAACACATGCAGAAAGTAATTTCAGACTATATTTTACTTAAAGGTTCAAAGCTTTAAAACTTCTATGTTTTTGTTCAGTTCTAAAAACAGCAATGTGCTGTTGTGTCTTATGATTGATCCCGAGTTCTGTAACTAACTGTGATCAATTAAATCTCCATGTGAAGTTACATTGGATTCAACAGGGCAGGGTGACCCTGCATACAGAAGTTACTTTAAAAACATTTCTCCTAATTTTAAAACAATTGGTTTGTTTTAAAAATGGAGAAATTTCTGATAGGAATAATTGTTTTCTAACAATGAGGTAATTTATAGCAGTTTTGGCATGGAAATTTTGTTTCTTCAGCCCCCTCTTCTGGAAGAAGAAAAACATCATTGTCTCGGTGAATTAATTGTTAAAAAACTCTTAGTACTTCTCACCCTTTTTAGATGTCAGTAACATCTCAGGCTTCATACTTTTGAAATTTTTGGATACAAACCAAACAGGAGAGTAATAAATTTTCACAGTAAAAAATGAAGCAATATGCCAAGCAGACTCTTTGAAGGACAAAGCTGGACCAATGAACCATTTCATTCTCTAGTTTAGGTGGTATTAATTGTAACCACTCCAAAAGCAGACCAGAAAAGGCAAGATTTAGCAGTGTTCATTACAGAGCAATGAACTTTGGGCTTAAGCTTTTGTGGCAAATAGGATATGAATTATGTCCTCAGAAGAAGCTTATGCCCACGTAAAGAACTGACAGCTAAAGCATTAAGAACTTTCTATAGAAATTAGGTTAGACCAGATAAGAAACAGAGATATGCATACTATTCAATATATTTTATTGAGAATTTAGGTTAAAATCTTGTACTGAATTCCCAATATAGCGAGACTGTCTCTAGCTGACCCTTTTCAGGTTTGTAATAATATAGGGGAATACCTATATTTGGTATATTGGCCAGTTGAACTTTTAGGGAAAAGGTAAAGCCATTTAGTGTCAGATGAAAGCACTCCTGGCACAGAGGAGGAGGTACACAGTGTCCAGCTGCATGGTTATGCTATTATAAGCATATCCATGGTTATGGATATAAGCATTATAATTATTATATGCACTATAATTATTATAATGATTATAAGCATTTCCATAGGAAATCTGGTCACAGATAAAAGTTCTGCAAAAATAACATTGCACACACCTTTTTGATTTCTCTCAGCAGCTGGTTTGCCAAGGTTCTGCTTTGGATAATTCAGCAAAGACACTTTTGGAAGAATATTCTGGGTACTTTCTTCTTTACCACCATATAAGAAATGAGAGAGAATTCCATACAGGAGAGGTCTGCTTAAGGGAGAAATTCACAACAGTCTGTAAAGTCTGTAAAATACTGAGCATTAAAAATACACCTTTCCCTCAGGACTTCTTAGATCTTAATATTTACTTCTACAATATGTATATATGTCTTTAATGACTTAAAACACATCCAAGTACCATTACATAAATAAGCACAGACCTAAGCTCCCGCTGAACACCAACACTGCCCTAAAAAGCTGACTAACAGACACTCTCCACTGAACTTCAGCTCCCTGGGCAGGTGTAGAGCTGGGGTGTGTTTAGCACAGGTCCACGTTCTCATCCAGTGATCAGAAGGATCCACACACTCACAACAGATCAGATTTTGGTGGGCTGTAGGCCAGTCCACCAGGGCACATCTCAAACTTGGCTCTTCCTAAGCTCCTGACAGGTTCAGACAGCACAAGCTACAGAGAATGCTGAACGTGTCTGAACCTGCTTCAGCCTCATGTAATTAATGCAGCTTTATTGGAGCACTCTGAATCTACATCTAATCTCACACTAATCTTTCTATTGCTCCACACAGCAACTCACAGATATGTGAAGAGCAGATCTATTTTCTATAGAAAGCAGACTGTACTGGTAAGAGGGCAGTGCTTTGGTGCACAAGGGCACTGTCTGGAGAATGCCACCGTGCTGGCAGAATGCAGTGTTTGGAGTATGTCTGAAAATGGCCCATGTTTGGCATCCTGATGCTGAATCCAGCATATCAGAACACATGTGGGATCAGCCACATTTTAGCTGGTGAGAATAGCTATATGTGATTTAGAATTACACTAAAGAGAAAAATATACTGGCATACAGAATATACACAATACTGTGCATTCCAAAATGTCTTCTTACACTGATTTTCCACTTGCATCTTCAACTATATTCAGCTCTTTGGCAAGAAACTCTCTATCCAAGGGCACTTCAGGCTGGCCGGATTCTGGAAAACAAAATCCCTGAATCTTAACATCAGCAAGAAAAATGTCACCAATTAATGGAAGACTTCAAAAGATCATGAGAGCCCACACCTCCCTTTTAGACTATTAATAACTAACAGTGTATTGTAATTCCAGGGGACTCACTTAAGCATTAGTGATTCATAAAGGTGTAATTTACAATAGCACATTACAGGTTTTATTTTCACTCTTAAAGAATCTAAGACAAATATTAAAGAAGTTTAAAGTAAATATTAAATAATTATAAAGATGAATTAATCAGACAAACAACTCTTTCTCTAAACTACTACTCTCAGGCATGCCAAGAAATGTGAGTTTGCAGGCTGTTATCAAGTTTTCTTGCCCTTGCATCAACTACCGTGTCAAACAATTTACCTCAAGGGTAAAGGAGAAGAGAGCAAGTTTTCTTGAAAACTAATGGAGTGATTTGTCTTAATGCTGCAAGTAGAGCTGTGGAGAGGTTGTTTGTACCTGTTAGTTCCCAAGGGAAAACAAGATTATGCAGCTTGTCACACTTACTAATTCCATAATATCACTGGAATTATTCAACCAAACCATCGCTGATTACACTGATTGCAGCGATGACACAAATCCATGGCCGGTACCTGCCGTCAGAACAGATGCTGTGTATTTGTACTTGTTGTACTCCAGGTACTCCCGAATGAGCTCGTTGATCAGGAGGTTCTCCCGGGACAGCGTCGGCCGCGGCTCGCTCCGGTCATCCAGGGCATTGAACACCTCCGCTCTGATCCTCGCTTTGATTTGGGCAAGAGCTCCTCTTTTTTCCAGTGTGTCCTTTAAAACTATCCCCATAAAAAGGCAAGTTAATTTAAAGCCAAAGGCATTCGAGCAGCAGCTTTAATTAGCCCCGATACAAACAGAGTTTTGGCTGTGCCGATAAGGTATCTGCACCTGCACACGTGCAGCACCCAGGCATGCCAGATAAAACTGAGCCTTCAGAAAACTCACAAATACATTTTGTTTTTTTTAGTCGCAAGCACACATTCTAGCAATTTAAGAGATAGACTGTTACTGCACCAAGATGCGTTTAATACTGAAGCATACTGAAACACAGCCCACGGTATATGACGAGGGCAGCGCCAAGGGACGGGGGCCTCCATTAGCGCCCCCGGCAGCTCTGAGACCCATCCGGGAGGCCGCGGGAGGCCGATCCGCGCTCCTGCCTCCCGGCGAACCGAGACATCCCCGGCCCCAGCCCCGGCCCGACCTGCTTTGAGCTCCGCCACCGTCGCCATGGCCGCGCCAGGACCCGGATGGCGCCGTGCGCACTGCGCAGGCGCGGGGCCGGCGGGAGCTCCGTGAGGGGAGAGCGCGGGTTCGGGAGCTCTGCCAGGGGAGAGCGCGGGTTCGGGAGCTCCGTGAGGGGAGAGCGCGGGGCCGGGCGGGAGCTCCGTGAGGGGAGAGCGCGGGTTCGGGAGCTCCGTGAGGGGAGAGCGCGGGTTCGGGAGCTCCGTGAGGGGAGAGCGCGGTTCGGGAGCTCCGTGAGGGGAGGGCGCGGGGCCGGCCCCTCAGGGAGCGGAGCCCCGCGGGATCCCTCTGCTGCCGGCGGGCCGGGTCGTGCCAGGATAGAATAACCAGCATCGGCAGCGCCTCGGAGCTGCCCGCGGAGCTGCCGCTCGGTGTGCAGCCCCTCCAGCTGCGCGGAGTGTCAGGGCTGCCACGCTTTCTCCTGTAATTTCAGAGCTTGGCAAAAATCGGGGAGGAAACACGGAAAATGAGCGAGAATTTCTTCCACGTGTGCAGCGGAGGAGTTTTGCACCGAGTCCCTGACAGATGCACTGTTGATTAAAAGGACTCGCCAAAGCTGAGCTTCTAATGAAAAGGTCTTGCCAAAATGTAACTGTATACGGGGTGTTTCGCAAGCCTGAGGATCCCTGGCGTGTCTGAAGGCTTGTGTGTGTGCTCCCTGTTGCTGGGATGAGTCAAGAGTGTTTATTCTGCCAATGCACTAAGTATTTCCCAAAGGAAATGCAGCTGGTGTGGGTGAACAAACTGGATTTGCTATTGTCTGCTGGGGCTTGAAGTTATCTTAGGCAATAAAGCCTAAGACAAGAGTTAGGTATGGGGTTTGGAGAGGTTGTTAGGATTATTTTGTTTGCTTTTTACATTTCCTCTCAAATATTTATATGACAATCTTCCAAAGCATCTCTGGTGGAGGCCAATAAATAAAATTTAGGCAAATCAGAAGTGGTGGTGCAGTCGATGTGTTTCCGTGGGGCTGAAAGAAAAGTATCTTTCAGATACTTTTAAGTAGCTTACAAAAATATCTTGAGAAAAACATATTTGGGTAAAAAAATGTATATTTCTAGACACTCAACTTCATGCTTATTTACTGTCTTTTGCATGTAAAAATAAATGGAGTCATACTTGAACATTTATCTGTTCTCTTGCAATACCATAAAGATTTTTACATGATATGAATTAATGTTATGGGTTAAACTGACAAACTCGTAGGACTTCTGACACGCAACGCGTGTGGTTTAATCTTTCTGTGATGATTCTGCTCCATTCATCAATGCAGATGGAAGCTGGGTGGGCCAGACTCAGCTGCTGCTGCTCTTGGACCTGACACCCTGAGGATGTGGGATCCAGGGGACAGACCAGAACTATTGCAGCAGGATGGACAGTCTGCCACCACTAGTGCAGCTCTCAAAGTGCAGGTGAATAAAGAAGCAGTCTGTGATATATTCATTGTATGTGCGATGCCTGCTTTAAAGTTACACATTAAACAAACAAGATCTGTCTCTTTTTAACAACTTTGCCTGTTGCCATGAATGCCCTGGATGGACGAGAATATTTTAAGTTGAGGTTTGTGTGATTAAAGATTTCAGATGTTACTGTAGAGTACTATGTAAGCACCCTGCTATTTCCTGCAGCATGCAATGCCATTCCTACATATGTACCACCATACTCCAGCTGGTCTATTCTGGTACAGTAGTCAGGCCAGCTGACTGGATTTAACTGATGTGTTTCAAATAGGATGTGAAGACACCGTGAGACACAACCCAGTGCAACCACAGGGCTGTGCAGTTAGCTCAACTACTGCGTATTTTAATGCAAACCTGGTTGTGGATGAAGTTGTTTTGGTTCTGTTTGTGCTAGTCAACTTGAACTAGTTAAGGGCATTGAAACCAGTACAACTGTTTCGCGCTGAGAAGTGAGCTATTTGAAGGTGAGCTTAGGCTTTCCCTGGGGCCTTCCCCCAGGACCCCGCCTTGGCTCAGTCCCGCAGGGCCCGGGTGGGGACACGTGGGGCCAGAGCGGTGCCACAGCGAGGGAGATACCGTCATGGCCAGCCCGGGGGCAGGTGCGGTGCGAGGTGCGGTGCGAGGTGCGGTCCGGACGGGGGAAGCGATTCCACCCCGGTACGCTGCCGGGGGCGCGGGGCCATTTCTGCGTTGAACGAAGGCACGCGTCAGGCTCCGGCCGAGGCTCCCGGGCCCGTCGCCCGCGCTGGTGCGGAGGCGTTGGTGCCCGCGGGTCGCGCCCGGGCCGGCGCTGCGGGCGCAGCCCGGTGCCCGCACGCGGCGCTGCCGGCCGCCCCCGCCCCGCCGAGCGGGGCTGCGCAGCGCGGGCGGCGGCGGCCCCGGCTCGGCATCCCCGTGACGCGGAGCCAATCAGGGCTCCGAGTGGCGCCGCCGGCCCGGCCCGGCCCCGCCCGCCGCCGCTCGGGCCGGAGAGCTGCGGACGGGGAAGCGCTGCCGCGGGAGCCCGCGGTCGCCTCGCCGCGCTCCATGGGGATCGAGAGCCTCTGCAGCGCGGACGCCTCCGAGCCCTTCTGGGTGAGCGGCGGGATGGGGCCGCGGCGGCTCGGCTCGGCGGCGGCTGCCGGTGTCAGCACGGAGGGATGGCGGGGAACCGGGTGGGGCTTGGGTGGTGACGGAGCCCGAGGGGGCTGCGCCCGGCAGCGGGGCAGCGGGAGCCTGGGCGCCGGCGCTCCCCGGGCAGAGCGCGGGGCCCGCGGTGCGCCCCGGCCGTGCGCGGCGGGAGCACCGGCGGGAGCGGCCGCGGGCCGGCGGGGCCGTGCCGGGCCGTGCCGGCGGCTCGTGGTCTCCGCCTGGGCGCGATGTCCCCAGGGCCGGGTCGCGGAGCCTCCTGTGCGGGATTTCCGGCAGGGAGATGCTTGGAGAGCAAGGGCGAGGGGTGCCTGCCCAGCGCTGGAACGAGCGGCCGGAGCAGCCCACGCCTTTGGCCGCTCGGCTGCGTTACCCGGGGGTAACAACAATAACGGTGTCCCACGGCTGCCGGCACACGAGGGCGGCCGCAGGAGGCCGCGGACCAGCGCGTTCTGCAGCTTTATTGCACGTTTGTGCAGCAGCATTTTCGCTCTTCCTCAACGAAGAGTGGTGAGCGCAGGTGCTGTGCTGGGCTGGAAGGCAGCTGTGCACAGGTGGGCCATGTGGGGACATTGCGCTGGGGTCCTGCTCAGCTGAGATACGGCATCCTGTGCGGGTCCGGCAGCAGCGAGGCACCTGGGACAGCAGGACCGGAGTGAAAATTCATCTCGGGAGCAAACTGGTTGTATGTAGGTTGCGTGGAGGAAGGGAAGAGCTGGAAGTTAGGAAAATAAATGTGGAGTGAGAGCTACTGAAGTCTGCATAGGGAAGAGAGAACTATTGTGTATTCATCAGATGTTTGCCAAATAGTTTTAAGCTAATGAGTTGCTTACTAGTGAAAAAATAAAATAGAATCAGATGTCTTAATAGATACAATTGTACTATTTATCTCAAGAACCATTAGGATATTACTGAGTAGATATTTTTAAAATAATCAAGACCAAGACAATTAGTTTTTTCCAGCTGATCAAAAGTGACTTTGCTAACTTGCTTTTATATTGCTTATACTAATATCTCTTTTCTGCTACTTCTCAGGTTTTTCAGAACTGTCTAAATTATGAGTTGTCATTATGCATTTTTTTTTTCTCTTTCCTCGAATGAGACTTTTCATTTGAAGGGCTTAAGAGAACACATGTTTCAGAATGAGTTTTTGGAAAAACTGACTTGAGAGAGTAGTAGGATTGTGAAAAAGAGCTGCCAGTTCATTCTTTGAGTTGTGGAATTGTAACTTGAGGTAGACAAAAGCATTACACAGATGAAGTTGGAAGCAACCAGTTTATATAGGATTTTTGGCAGCAGATTCTTTTATTAGGAGAACTGTTCTCATGTGTGTTACAGCAATTTCTGGTATTTCTGTAAAACAACTCAATACATTTTTTCCACTAGTTGCATTGATTCCCAATATTTTGGGATTCATCATCCTTCTCGAAATCACATGGAGCCTGCCTTTCATTTCTTCCAGCTAAAGATCCCACATCCTGTGGGTATGGTTGTTTGATTTCTGGGTTCTGATCCTGCAAAGGAATAATTGTGCATTTGAGTGAGGGCTTGATGTGCCTGGAAAAGTCTTCCTTCATGCTGAACTTGTCTTCATAAGTAACAGTCTATTTGCACTTTGTTGCATCATTCCCAGTAGGGCAGAGTAGAAATGCCAGTTTGGGTGCTTATGGGCACTCTGGCTGCTGCTTTTTCTGACATTCCCGTTATTGCTGCTCTTTAATGCTGAAGTTTTAGTGTATTTTCAGAAATTGTCTCTGTATATGCAGTGTTTACTGGACTTCTAGGTATGTCCTGTGGTTGGGCCGCTGTTCTTCCTGGCTCCTGGACTGCATTCTCGCGCTCCGCAGAGCTGGGTGATAGCTGGATACACAGTGGCACGTGTTATTGTGTTCTTGTGGTGGCTGCATCAGCTCGTTTGCTTGGTTCTGAAGCCCTGCTAGTGGAGCAGAGGGATTTCTCAGCTTCAAGGAGGTGATGTGTTTTCTGGTGGGCAACTCACTTTTAAATTGTGGGGTAGACTGTGGCTGAAAGGACCTAATGGACCCTTAAAACTGTATGCTAATCTTCTTAGGCTTTGCTGACCAGGATTTTTCTTGTTTGCACGCCCAAGGAATGTTATTGTTGAAAGTTCTTGTCTGAGAATTAAACAGATTGGTTTTATTTAGTACTTACTCCGAGAGGTCAGGAACCTAAGGAAGACTGCCATCTTCTTCACTCCGTTATTTCTTCTTTCTCACTGTCTAACCTGTCTCTGTGTCCCTACTTACTGCAACACAGCAACAAGTTGTTGGGAGTCCTGTTAGGAAGGGTGGGTACTAACAAATCTTGTAGCTACCACTTCACTCTAATTTCAGTTCTGCTGTTTCTAAGACTTGCCTTTTACAACTTTCCCAAAACCCTCTGAATTTAAAGATTCCCACATTACTCAGTATGTTAACTGTCCAATCAGATTTTTCTGCATATAGTTCTTTTATAGAACTTTACTGCATCTTGCTTCCTTTAGACTCCCTTTTTGGACAAGTGCAGTTAATCCTTGCTTGCTCTACCATCACTGAGTGTCTTGGAATGGATATTCCAACCATAATATAAGGAAAGGTACATCTGTGCAAGATGAAGTTACTATTTACTGATAGTTGTTGACAACAATAAAAGCTTGAAAAATCACAGTGCACTACTTGCATTCCAGTCCAGTGAATTTAAGGGCCTGTTCAAGCTGTAAAACTTTGTGACCTGACACACTGAGATAGCTTAGGCTAGAATATCCCTGCTGTCTGTGCACAGCCTACCTTGTTTCAATAGCAGCACACAAAAAGGCAGAGGTAAAGCAGGGTGAGGAGCAGTGTGGTTCCAGGTAAGCAGGATAAGTGTCACAGCAGATGTAGAACTGTACACTTTGGCCTCCTGACCTGCCTGTCTGGAGATATTCACACATGCATAGTTGGTGCATGTGCATTTTGGAATAATCTGCTGGCTTTTCTTTGAATAAAATCTTGGTTTCAGTGTTTTTCAGAGCTTGTAAACTCTGCAGTATCATGCTTAGAGAAGTCTTTTCATGTTTGAAATTGCTAAAGGAAGAGGTTAACGGTTTTTGTGACACTTTGAGATTTCAAAGCTCTCAATAGGGCTTCATGAAAAAGAAGTGGGAAATATGCCTCTGAAACTTTTGAGTTTCTTGCCAATACTTAAGGGAATGTGACATAAATGGTTTATATAAATATAAATTCCTGTTGTGTTGTTCACAGGCAGACACTTTGTTTTTTAAAGTTAATTTCGATATAAGTTCTTTATTTCAGTGGAAATTTAGCAGAATTTTTTTCCCACAGTTTTCTAGTTGGGCTTTTCATTGTTGAGAAATGATTGAAAGTGAGTAATTGCATTCACTTCAAGGAGAAAAGCAAGTTTTCAGCTTCTCTGTTTTGTTTTGAAAACTAGAGTCCTGTAATGATTCAAGCTGTAAACCCTGGCCTGTTTCTTCCCTGTTTGTTCAGAAAGCTTTTGTGAAGCCTCTTCACTGCTAGTAAAGAAGTGGTATCCACACACTGTGCCAGGTTTAGCTCTTTTTGTGTGAAAACAAACTACAGAAGAACAGACTGGGTTGAGTGAAGGTGAGGCAGAGCCTCATACACAAAATCTAGGGACCAACTTGGAGGGATTGGGCTTTGCTTCCTTTGCCATTGTGTAGAGTTCTGTCTGAGGCTTTTGGGAATGTTTGACTGCCTAAAAAAAAGTATTTTGTTATTTTTTGTCTAAGATGTTATGTTTTGTATTTGGTTGACTTTGTTGTTGTGGGAGAGATCCATAATGTAACTCGATAGAATTTTATTAAGAAAAAAAAAGTATTAATATTCTTTAATGCATTGCAATTATTAACTGACATGGGTGAAGTGATACTGTGTGACACAAACAGCTGCTGTG